AGACGCGCACCACTGGCTTGGTGCGAGGGCCGGAACAGGCCGGACCGGGCTGGCGACGTGCACCACTGGCTTGGTGCGAGGTGCAGGAACAGGCCGGGCCGGGCTGGCGACGCGCACCACTGGTTGGTGCGAGGAGCAGGAACGGGTCGAGCCGTACTGGGAACACGCACCACTGGCTTAGTGCGGGGAGCAGGAACGGGCCGGACCGGACTGGCAACACGCACCACTGGCTTGGTGCTAGGAGCAGGAACAGGCCGGGCCTGGCTGGCGACGCGCACCACTGGCTTGGTGTGAGGAACAGGAACAGGCCGGGCCGGGCTGGTGACGCGCACCACTGGCTTGGTGCGAGGGGCAGGAACAGGCCGGGCCGGGCTGGCGATGCGCACCACTGGCTTGGTGCGAGGGACGGGAACAGGCCGGACCGGGCTGGCGACGTGCACCACTGGCTTGGTGCGAGGGGCAGGAACAGGCCAGGCCGGGCTGGCGACGCGCACCACTATCTTGGTGCGAGGGTCAGGAACAGGCCGGACCGTGCTGGCGACGCGCACCACTGGCTTGGTGCGAGGGGCAGGAACAGGCCGGGCCGGGCTGGCGACGCGCACTACTGGCTTGGTGCGAGGAGCAGGAATGGGTCAGGCCGTACTGGGAACACGCACCACTGGCTTAGTGCGGGGAGCAGGAACGGGCCGGACCGGACTGGCGACACGGGACTGGGTTCCTTTATTAACCCCCGCTCCTTCTGCTGCCTAACCAGCTCCTCTCGCCGTGCCTCTACACTTTCCTTCTCCCTTTTAGCCTCCTGTAGCCTCGTCATCCACCCCGTGTGCCCCCCAAAAACATTTTCTTGGGGTTGCCTCTCGGGTCTCCGTCGTCGGCACGGTTGGCGCCGTTTCACCTCTCCTGCCTGGGCATCTACCTTCGCCCATGGCCCTTTCCCCGCAAATATCTCCTCCCATGACCACCATTTGCCCACCTGTGACATGGCTATTCGCTCTTCCTGGGCACGCTGCTTGGTCCTCGTCAGGTGGGATCTTCTGTCACGTTCGTTGAAGGACGGGACGGACCAAGGCGCAGCGTGATATGCGTACATGTTTATTTGAACCGAATAAACAACACGACAAAACAACAAACGAAACGAAACGTGAAGTCCAAGGTAGAACACAAAACATACCTTACACGGAACAAGATCCCACAACTCAATAGTGCCCATAGGCTGCCTAAGTATGGTCCCCAATCAGAGACAACGATCGACAGCTGTCTCTGATTGGGAACCACACCGGCCAACATAGAAATATACATACTAGAATATGAACATAGAATATAGATAACAAAGAATATACACACCCTGACTCAACATATCAGAGTCCCCTGAGTCAGGGCGTGACATGTATAATCATAAAATGTTTGATGTTGACGTTGATCATTAAGTATTGTATTATTTTTTTGATTATTTTTGTCTTGTCTCATAGATTCAGTTGGTATTGACTGATATGATTATTTTTGTCTTGTCTCATGGATTGAGTTTGTCTTGAATGATATGTGAGTGTAATACAAACTTAAACTTGAACACTTCATCTGTGACCACATTGTTGACACGGTAAAATGCCTTCATCAACAACTATGGCAAACATTCAAACAGTCAAGTGTGATCAAACACACATCCTTAAACATTCAAACATTACTACTTGAAGTTATAACCAGGATCAAAACAGGAAGCAGAAACATGGGTCTGTTAATTAAAAGATTAATCTTAGAAGAATAAACAATTCTGTCACCAGTTTTTTTTTTTTTGCACAGCATTTCATGTCACTAAATACCTGTCAACAAGAAACAATGTTATTCTTAGTTATCCCTGTACTGTACATACAGGTTTCTGCAATGAGCTCGTACACAAGACATTGACATATACAGATCTAAGATCTTAATTTGAGCCAGTTTGCTACAGCAGGAAAATAATCCTGCAGCAACAGGAAATATGAATTATAATATGGATTATAATTAATGGAATTATTTTGTAGGGGCTGATACATTTTTCGTTAGGGTAAATCAAGTATGAAATATTAAAGTGGAAATTACACTACTGCTGTGCAGGGAAATTATCAGCAACAAAAGAGTGATCAAATTAAGATTCTACATCTGTATGGGAGGGAATAACTTAGCATTGCCTACATGGTAGAATATTAATGCTATTTTACTGTAAACAAATTAACAACAGACTATCAACACGCTTATAAGGAAGGACATTCAACAAGCACGGCACTTACACAAATTACTGTTGATTTGCTGAGAGAAATTGATGATAAAAAGATTGTGGGGGCTGTTTTGTTAGACTTCAGTGCGGCTTTTGACATTATCGATCATAGTCTGCTGACGGAACAATGGATGTGTTATGGCTTTACACCCCCTGCTATATTGTGGATAAAGAGTTACCTGTCTCACAGAACACAGAGGGTGTGCTTTAATGGAAGCATCTCCAACATAATCCAGGTAGAATCAGGAATTCCCCAGGGCAGCTGTCTAGGCCACTTACTTTTTTTAATCTTTACTAATGACATGCCACTGGCTTTGAGTAAAGCCAGTGTGTCTATGTACACTATACACGTCAGCTACTACAGCAAGTGAAATCATTGCAACACTTAACAAAGAGCTGCAGTTAGTTTCAGAATGGGTGGCAAGGAATAAGTTAGTCTTAAATATTTCAAAAAATAAAAGCATTGTATTTGGGACAAATCATTCACTAAACCTTAAACCTCAACTAAATCTTGTAATAAATAATGTGGAAATTGAGCAAGTTGAGGTGACTAAACTGCTTGGAGTAACCGTGGATTGTAAATTGGCTCAAAACATGTTGATACAATAGTTGCTAAGATGGGGATAAGCCTGTCCATAATAAAGCGCTGCGCTGCCTTTTTAACAACACTATCAACAAGGCAGGTCCTACAGGCCATAGTTTTGTCGCACCTGGACTACTGTTCAGTCGTGTGGTCAGGTGCCACAAAGAGGGACCTCGGAAAATTACAATTGGCTCAGAACAGGGCAGCATGGCTGGCCCTTAAATGTACACAGAGAGCTAACATTAATAATGTGCATGTAAATCTCTCATGGCTCAAAGTGGAGGAGAGATTGACTTCACACTACTTCTTTTTGTAAGTGTTGACAAGCTGAATGCACCGAGGTGTCCGTTGAAACTACTAGCACACAGCTCGGACACCCATGCATTCCCCACAAGACATGCCACCGGAGGTCTCTTCACAATCCCCAAGTCCAGAACAGACTATGGGAGGCGCATATTACTACATAGAGCAATGGCTATATGGAACTCTATTCCACATACGGTAACTGATGCAAGCAGTAGAATCAGATTTAAAAAACTGATAAAAATACACCTTATGGAACAGCGAGGACTGTGAAGAGACACACACACAGGCACAGACGCATATACACATAAGACACGCACTCTACACACACGTACACATGGATTTTGCATTGTAGATATGTGATAGTAGAGAAGTGGCCTGAGGGCAAGCACTTCATGTGTTGTGAAAAGTTTTATGAAATGTAATGTCATGTAATATAAAATTGTATATAACTGCCTTAATGTTGCTCGACCCCAGGAAGAGTGGGGATCTTAATAAATATAAATAAATACAAATACAAAATGTAAGGTTTAGACAGTCAAAATATATTAGATCATAAAACTATTGTGGTGATTAAAAACACCAGGAACATATTGGGTATTACACAACATTATGAAACCAAACATATTTTGTAAAAGTCATGAAGTGAAGAAACCCTGTTGATCAACTGATCACTAGAAAAAAACAATTCAAATTTGGATTACGGCCGCATCTCTCACTCGGAACTTTGGAAAATATTATTTTCTATGTTGTTCTTTTATATTCCATTACATTATTTTTATTAAATAGATTTGTGTTGACTGTGATACAGGCACAGGAATTTGTGTCTCCTCTGCTAAATGAACACAATATGTATTTTGGCATTGGCCATTGCTATAACGGCCTAGCATTGCTTTTTACACGCACATTGTCTACAGATTAAATATATGAATATAATACTATTTGTGAGTTGACAGAGCCAAGTGTGTGCCAGGAAAAAAACTACATTGCATGCTAACTCAAACTTACCAGAAGTGGAATGCGACTAAAAAGGAATGTCAGAGATTTGTTTGTGTGTCCTTGATAGGCGATTCCAAGTGCATATGTGTTTTGCAATAAAAGTGAAAATTGAGAGTGTACTCTGACTCTTAACATCTGGACAGTAAACTGTAAATGAACTTCACAAGTACTTCTCGATAATAATGAATTCTCCAAAGTGACATGTTGTTTACCAATGTCTTTATAAGTTGCTGCACCAAACCATTTCTCTATCATTCTCTATCATTCTGTTACAAAGCAGGACATAAGCATAATTCTTAGCACATCAACTTAAGAGATACGGTACCCACTAATTTACTTTTTCATCTTAATTAGATTGCTGCTATCTAAAGGCACAATATGTCAGATTTACGGATGTTCAACGATCATTTGAATCATTACAACAATCGATTCTCGAAGAATATAACTTATAAATGAGCTGAGTACAACTGTGTTACCCTGTCATAAATCTAAGGTTCTATTGCTTAATTGTTTCTGTTGCTGTTTCCATTTGAGTCTTTGTAAACACACCAATAGCTTCAAAATCTGTTTAAACTAGCATGTTGATCTCCTGTCAGACCTTGCATCAATAGTTCCATCTATCTAATTTGAGAGCGGTTACATTTCCTTTTCCCCATCCCTCAACTGGCAACAAAATGGTAGGGTCGAGCTGTTGAAATGACACATTCACATATTCTGTATGTTACTTTTCAACAGCTTGTATTCTTGTCAGTCCCATTGTTCCCATCATATACTTTATAAGCAGTTGTTTCCTATGCTTCTATTTGTATGACACCAGTGATTTACTGTCCCTTTGGTCTCTGTGTTCTCTCCCTGCTGTTTTAGATTATGGCTCTGAGCAGACTTCTGACTTTGGGGCTCTGTGTTCTCTCCCTGCTGGTTCTGCCAGGCCAGATGGAGCAGTGTGAATGCCAGGGTCCTAGAGGACTACCTGGGCCTCCTGGCCCTCCCGGGCCTGTTGGGCCTTCTGGAGGTAAATGAGTCGTAAGCTACCCTATCATAATCCAAAATATAATACTGTTGATTTTGGAGTACACTGTCACTTTAAGCATGCATATTCATTTGTGTGCCTGCTGATGGACTGATGATGAGGGGTACAGAGAACTCTGAATGATCTCAATTTGATAAGCACTCCTATTCCTACAAAAAGGCTTTGTCTGTACCAGTTGCCAAAAAAAACTGGGCCGGGGTATAATGAAAAAGCCCAATCCGGTATATTTCCTGCTGTTACCCTTTGATTAAAAAAACAAAAAAATATAAGAAACATTAGACTGTTGATTTTGGAATAAACTGCCAATTTAAGCATGCCAGATCAGACTTCAGAGCACTTAGCAGGCAAATTTAAGCAGTCCTTGGTGTGTATGATGATGAACCCTCTCCCTGTAATCTCTCCATAGGAATACCTGGACTTCCTGGTCGACCTGGTCCACCTGGAGAGAGCGGTAGAGTCTTAAATATTCACTGTTCTAACTATATTATTTACGTCCCAAAAATGTAAGGAGGTAACAACACCCTTCGAAGCAATGTCGACCACAACCGTAGTGCTGCTATCTCATTGTGTGTTTTTTTTTGGAAGACAAAGAACTCTGAATGACCTCAATTAGATAAGCACACCAATTCCTACAAAGAGTCTGTGTCTGTACCAGTTGCCAAAATAAACCTATTAAAAGGGGCATAGTGAATTAATAGTGAATTAATTGTCATGGGCCTCTCACTCCACCGGGTTACCACCTTAATTTTCTTCCACTCTGCTCACCACTCTCTCTACTCAGCCTAACTAGCTCCACCTGTCCCTGCTCTGCTCTGCTCTAATTACTCTGCCAGCTGCGCTGCATTACCCACTACCTCTCCCAGTATTTAAGGCCCTGTCTTTCAGCTCTCCGGTGTCAGATCGTCTGCAAAGCTCACACCCGGAACCTGTTTGCTCGCGCTTCTGGCTCACCCTGGTTTTGTGACCCCGGACCTGCCTGTTTTTTGGATACTCTTCTGCCTCAGGAGATCCAGACCTGCTTCTGCCATTACGACTCCTGACTACTCTTCAATCCCGGTAACTCTGACCAGCCTTCTGCCTTGCTACTACGTATTTTGGATTTCCCTTGAACTGTACTGCTGCCTGGTTTCATTCCGCCCTGTTGTGTCTGTGTCTCCCCCCCCCAGGACTTCTGGACCACCCACCACCGGCTTCATAGGACGCATCGCTGCCACTGGGGGGGGCACAGACCCAGCGCATTGGACGGGATCCCTGTTACCCCTGGAGCCTTCATTCACTCCCTACTTCCCTTTTCCCTTAAGTTTAATAAACTTTCTGGTGTGACGCAATTGTGGTCCTCTGGTCGTCTGTCTGAACCGTGACATTAATAGGGTATAGTGAATTATTAGCGGTTCACATCGAAGCCATATCTCAGACTGCCCATCTTAATATTTTCTTTTTATTGGCCAGTCTGAGATATGGCTTTTTCTTTGCAACTCTGCCTAGACGGTCAGCATCCCGGAGTCGCCTCTTCACTGTTGACGTTGAGACTGGTGTTTTGCGGGTACTATTTAATGAAGCTGCCAATTGAGGACCTGTGAGGCGTCTGTTTCTCAAACTAGACATTCTAATGTATTTGTCCTCTTGCTCAGTTGTGCACCGGGGCCTCCCACTCCTCTTTCTATTCTGGTTAGAGACAGTTTGTGCTGTTCTGTGAAGGGAGTAGTACACCGCATTGTACGAGATCTTCAGTTTCTTGGCAATTTCTCGCATGGAATAGCCTTCATTTCTCAGAACAAGAATAGACTGACGACTTTCAGAAGAAAGTTTGTTGTTTCTGGCCATTTTGAGCCTGTAATCGAACCCACAATTGCTGATGCTCCAGATACTCAACTAGTCTCAAGAAGGCCAGTTTTATTGCTTCTTTAATCAGCATAACAGTTTTCAGCTGTGCTAACATATTTGCAATAGGGTTTTCTAATTATCAATTAGCCTTTTAAAATGATAAACTTGGATTAGCAAACACAACGTGCCATTGGAACACATGACTGATGGTTGATGATAATGGACCTCTGTACGCCTATGTAGATATTCCATAAAAAATCAGCCGTTTCCAGCTACAATAGCCATTTACAACATTAACAATGTCTACACTGTATTTCTGATCAATTTCATGTTATTTTAATGGACAAAAAAATTGCTTTTCTTTCAAACACAAGGACATTTCTAAGTGACCCCAAACTTTTGAACGGTAGTGTATGTAGGTGCCTTTCCTCATGCTGAACACGTTTACCTCAATTATCCATAAGGCCTGTCAGGATATATTTTCCTCCATCTTGGAACATTTGGAAAACCTTTAAAAAACGTATTCTCATGAACCATAAGTCCACTTCTATATTATCTATCCATAGGGCCAACTGGACTTTCTGGACCTCCTGGATTTCCAGGAGTTTCTGGTAGAGTTGGACGTGATGGAGTCCCTGGTCCACCTGGACCCCAGGGCCCTGCAGGAGCTACTGGTACACTGCTAATTGACCTATTCCTGGTTATGTATTTAATATTTGGTTCTCTCTAGTCACACCTTCTGTTTTCACAGACTTAGACCTGGAACCACTGCAAGAAAGCTTGGTCAAACTGGAGTTGGGTATGAAGTGAATTTCAGAGAGCATGATCAGAATGTTATGTACTTGTATGCAAATTACAGGTCCCGTATCTTAATTTGATCACTCTGTTGTCGCAGAGAATTTTCCTGCACAGCAGGAAATGCAAACTTGTGGTGTATTCAAGGTTTAAAAAGGTTTCTAAAGTTTGTAATCTCCACTTATACATTTCAGACTTGATTTTCCATAACAAAAAAAGTATCAATCCCAACAGTTAATTATAATCCAAATAACAATTCATATTTCCTTTTGCTGCAGGATTATTTTCCTGCTGTGTGAAATGGGCTCAAATTAAGATAATGCATCTGTAGATTATATTGTAGTTTACTAAGTATCAGTTCAACATAAATTATGCAATATTCGTAATTTTTGAAAATGCTGTGTGAATTTAGTCGAGTGTCGGCATTTGTGAAATATAACATGGCAATGTTTTATGTCTTTTAATGTTACACCGACTGCATTAATACCTGGTTTCTCTTCAGCCATAAACTATGACTTCGCCAGAAGAGTTGACAAGAAGTACTTTGTGTCACACAAGAGACAGGGTTCTTTTGACGACGCTGTTCAGTTCTGTACCAAGAGGGGCTTGGTGCTGGCTTTGCCAAAAAACGAGGAGGAAAACACTGCTCTCACTCAAGTCTTTGAAGGGGCTTTCAATAATGCGTGGCTCAATGTTGACAACAGCAAAGAGGGAAAGTTTCAGCTAGATTTGAAAGGCCATCCCCTCACCTTTTCCAAATGGGGAGATGGGGAACCAAAAGTGCCTAATGGGGATAGGGGCTGCACAATGTTGACAGAGTCAGGTGCATGGCAGGTGACATCTGATTGCTCCTTCAATGCCTATATCATGTGTGAGATATAGGGACACCTCTATGAAATGCTGTTTCTGAATTTACAATGAAATCTTTCTTCTCTTCAATTAGGATTCTTTAGGTTTTATCTCTAGGTTTCATCTCTAGGTGGTATCTCTAGGTATTATCTCTAGGTTTTATCTCTAGGTATTATCTCTAGGTTTTATCTGTAGGTTTTATCTGTAGGTTTTTATCTCTAGGTTTTATCTCTAGGTATTATCTCTAGGTTTTATCTCTAGGTATTATCTCTAGGTTATATCTTTAGGTTTTATCTCTAGGTTTTATCTCTAGGTATTATCTCTAGGTATTATCTTTAGGTTTTATCTCTAGGTATTATCTCTAGGTTTTATCTTTAGGTTTTATCTCTAGGTTTTATCTCTAGGTTTTATCTCTATGTTTTATCTCTAGGTTTTATCTCTAGGTATTATCTCTAGGTTTTATCTCTAGGTATTATCTCTAGGTTTTATCTCTAGGTTTTATCTCTAGGTATTATCTCTCGGTATTATCTCTAGGTATTATCTCTAGGTTTTATCTCTAGGTTTTATCTCTAGGTTTTATCTCTAGGTTTTATCTCTAGGTTTTATCTCTAGGTATTATCTCTAGGTATTATCTCTAGGTATCTTGTATTTCCAGTTGTCCTGCACCTTTCATTCTTTCTTTATTCAAATTAGCTAGTTAAAATGTGGGGTAGAATATAAAACGGAAAGGGAAACTTGTCGAATAAAGCAACAAACACATTTACTTTGCCACTTGTCTGTCTCCTTCACGCTCCCTCTCTCTGAACAGACTGGCTGCTGATCATGCACATGGCTACTTTTGACCTACAGTATGATGACACAGGAATAGCAAATATATATTTCCAAGCAAGACAATATCAAGTTAAACTTTTATGAATAGGCTGACTTAGACCTGGAACCCACCTAGTAAAAGCGATGCATCTCAACACCAAAGGAAGGTATTGTCTGTGAGGGACACCCTCCTTAGTGCTGGTTTTATAGGTTTCTCTGGAGACATAATTACAAGGTATCCATACCACCAGAGGGTGAAGGAGGACCCGTATCAGTGATGTTGACCAGATAGACAGATCCTTTGCCGAGATATAGCACCCCATGTACTTGCCTAAGACTGTACTTTTCTGTACCACGTATCATATGACCGTGTACAAAACCGAAATTACCTTAGCACATACAAATCTGCCAATGGTATACAAGGTCTGCCAATGGTACAAATACTTGATAGAACTGCAATACAGAAGTCAGATATACTCTGAATCTACACAGAGAGCTGTACTGGTGTGTATTGTCTGAGAAATCGTTATTCTAGGACATTTTTTTTATTAAAGCATTTATTTGAATCTATGTTTCTCTATTAAGTTATACATATCATCAGAGGGTGGAGTGTTAACTGTATCAGTGATTTTGACCAGATAGACAGATCACCTGCAGATCACCTCATGTACTCACCTATGGTTATAACTGGTTATAACTAGGTATGACCGTGTACAAAATCAGCATATATATATGCTTAGTTGCAGTCAAAAAAGCTCATAAAAGTATGTAAGTGGTATGAATACTTAGTAGAACTGTAGTACAGAAACCAGCTACCCTCTGAATGTACACATAATGCTGTATTGGTGTGTATTCTTCAAAAATACTTACTCTACTGAAAATGTTATGTAAATACCAGAATTCCTATAATATCCTCCAATGTTCTTTATGTGCAACTTGTTAAGGTATTTTGGGTGCTATACCATTTGGTTTGAAGTAACTTAAAGGATTGAAGCATGCTGCCATAGCCCCTACCAGTCCCATTGTTTCTCCAGCAGCGATGCTAAAGCAGATTTACCATCACCAACAAGTTTCTTTCCAGACTTTTCCATCCGTTTCCAGTATTTTCCATCCATTTCCAGTCTTTTCTGTCCCTTTCCAGTCTTTTCTGTCCCTTTCCAGTCTTTTCTGTCCCTTTCCAGTCTTTTCCATCCGTTTCCAGTCTTTTCCATCCGTTTCCAGTCTTTTCCATCCGTTTCCAGTCTTTTCCATCCGTTTCCAGTCTTTTCCATCCGTTTCCAGTCTTTTCCATCCATTTCCAGTATTTTCTGTCCGTTTCCAGTCTTTTCCGTCAGTTTCAGTTTTAGCCAATCTGACACAATAACATTCAACCTTGTCTGTTTATTATTATTTATGTCCAGTTACAATCTCAGACCATTCCTTCTCTCCAATAAGGTTATAATGGGAGAGTTAGTCCTTCTCTCCAATAAGGTTATAATGGGAGAGTTAGTCCTTCTCTCCAATAAGGTTATAAAGGGAGAGTTAGGGGTTCTCTCCAATAAGGTTATAAAGGGAGAGTTAGTCCTTCTCTCCATAAGGTTATAATGGGATAGTTAGTCCTTCTCTCCATGAGGTTATAATGGGATAGTTAGTTTTTCTCTCCAAAAAGGTTATAATGGGAGAGTTAGTCCTTCTCTCCAATAAGGTTATAATGGGAGAGTTAGTCCTTCTCTCCATAAGGTTATAATGGGAGAGTTAGCCCTTCTCTCCAATAAGGTTATAATGGGAGAGTTAGTCCTTCTCTCCAATAAGGTTGTAATGGGAGAGTTAGTCCTTCTCTCCATAAGGTTATAAAGGGAGAGTTTGTCCTTCTCTCCTTAAGGTTATAAGGTCAGAGTTAGTCCTTCTCTCCAATAAGGTTATAATGGGAGAGTTAGTCCTTCTCTCCATAAGGTTATAATGTCAGAGTTAGTCCTTCTCTCCAATAAGGTTATAATGGGAGAGTTAGTCCTTCTCTCCATTAGGTTATAATGGGAGAGTTAGTCCTTCTCTCCATAAGGTTATAAAGGGAGAGTTAGTCCTTCTCTCCATGAGGTTATAATGGGAGAGTTAGTCCTTCTCTCCATAAGGTTATAATGGGAGAGTTAGTCCTTCTCTCCAATAAGGTTATAATGGGAGAGTTAGTCCTTCTCTCCAATAAGGTTGTAATGGGAGAGTTAGTCCTTCTCTCCATAAGGTTATAAAGGGAGAGTTTGTCCTTCTCTCCATAAGGTTATAATGGGAGAGTTAGTCCTTCTCTCCAATAAGGTTATAATGGGAGAGTTAGTACTTCTCTCCAATAAGGTTATAAAGGGAGAGTTCGTTTTTCTCATTCCAATAAGGTTATAATGGGAGAGTTAGTCCTTCTCTCAAATAAGGTTATAATGGGAGAGTTAGTCCTTCTCTCCAATAAGGTTATAATGGGAGAGTTAGTCCTTCTCTCCATCAGGTTATAAAGGGAGAGTTAGTCCTTCTCTCCATAAGGTTATAATGGGATAGTTAGTCCTTCTCTCCAATAAGGTTATAATGGGAGAGTTAGTCCTTCTCTCCAATAAGGTTATAATGGGAGAGTTAGTCCTTCTCTCCATAAGGTTATAATGGGAGAGTTCGTTTTTCTCTCCAATAAGGTTATAATGGGAGAGTTAGTCCTTCTCTCCAATAAGGTTATAAAGGGAGAGTTAGTTTTTCTCTCCAAAAAGGTTATAATGGGAGAGTTAGTCATTCTCTCAAATAAGGTTATAATGGGAGAGTTAGTCCTTCTCTCCAATAAGGTTATAACGGGAGAGTTAGTCCTTCTCCCCATAAGGTTATAATGGGAGAGTTAGTCCTTCTCTCCAATAAGGTTATAATGGGAGAGTTAGTCCTTCTCTCCAATAAGTTTATAAGGGGAGAGTTAGTCCTTCTCTCCAATAAGGTTATAATGAGAGAGTTAGTCCTTCTCTTCATAAGGTTATAAATGGAGAGTTAGTCCTTCTCTCCATAAGGTTATAATGGGAGAGTTAGTCCTTCTATCCAATAAGGTTATAAAGGGAGAGTTAGTCCTTCTCTCCAATAAGGTTATACTGGGATAGTTAGTCCTCCTCTCCATAAGGTTATAACGGGAGAGTTAGTCCTTCTCTCCTTAAGGTTATAAGGTCAGAGTTAGTCCTTCTCTCCAAAAAGGTTATAATGGGAGAGTTAGTTCTTCTCTCCATAAGGTTATAAAGGGAGAGTTAGTTTTTCTCTCCAAAAAGGTTATAATGGGAGAGTTGTCCTTCTCTCCAATAAGGTTATAATGGGATAGTTAGTCCTCCTCTCCATAAGGTTATAACGGGAGAGTTAGTCCTTCTCTCCTTAAGGTTATAAGGTCAGAGTTAGTCCTTCTCTCCAATAAGGTTATAATGGGAGAGTTAGTTCTTCTCTCCATAAGGTTATAAAGGGAGAGTTAGTTTTTCTCTCCAAAAAGGTTATAATGGGAGAGTTAGTCCTTCTCTCCAATAAGGTTATAATGGGAGAGTTAGTTCTTCTCTCCAATAAGGTTATAATGGGAGATTTAGTCCTTCTCTCCAATAAGGTTATAATGGGAGAGTTAGTCCGTCTCTCCATAAGGTTATAATGGGAGAGTTAGTCCTTCTCTCCATCAGGTTATAAAGGGAGAGTTAGTCCTTCTCTCCATAAGGTTATAATGGGATAGTTAGTCCTTCTCTCCAATAAGGTTATAATGGGAGAGTTAGTCCTTCTCTCCAATAAGGTTATAATGGGATAGTTAGTCCTTCTCTCCAATAAGGTTATAATGGGAGAGATAGTCCTTCTCTCCAATAAGGTTATAATGGGAGAGTTAGTCCTTCTCTCCATAAGGTTATAATGGGAGAGTTAGTTTTTCTCTCCAATAAGGTTATAATGGGAGAGTTAGTCCTTCTCTCAAATAAGGTTATAATGGGAGAGTTAGTCCTTCTCTCCAATAAGGTTATAATGGGAGAGTTAGTCCTTTTCTCCAATAAGGTTGTAATGGGAGAGTTAGTCCTTCTCTCCATGAGGTTATAAAGGGAGAGTTAGTCCTTCTCCCCATAAGGTTATAATGGGAGAGTTAGTCCTTCTCTCCAATAAGGTTATAATGGGAGAGTTAGTCCTTCTCTCCAATAAGGTTATAAGGGGAGAGTTAGTCCTTCTCTCCAATA